AATGCGCATTTTGTAACACTTAGCATATTCATTTCGGTGAAGAATCTTCCATGTCTATTAGCCCTGCTGGCTCTTGCATGGACTGCAGCGCTTCTTAGGGTCCTGTCTCTTGCTGTCATTCAGACGCAGGCTGGACCCCGTACTGACATGCAGACTGGTTATTTGGGTCCCTTCATCCCCACTACCCTGGCTGGCCTGCCGTGAGGGATCTGTGAGCACGCAGAGTATCATCAGTTACTGCTGATCTACAAATCGCCCTAAGACTTTGCGACTTAGAAGAACACGCCTTTATTACCTCATGCATTTGGGGGGCTAAGAATCCAGCAGAGCTCAGCAGGGTCCGGTGACTATCAGGATGTCCGCATCTCAAACTCGCTTGGGCAAGGATCTTCTTTCCAGCTCAAAGGGCTGTCAAGAAAAAAAAAATCTTGTTTGGCAACAAGTGCCCATTTCTTGTCCCCAAGGTCAGTTAGCCAAGGACTCTGGTCCTCAAGGCAGTTGAAGACCTCAGATCCTCTGGCCCTTGCAGCACGGGCCCCAGCTGCAGCTGATCCTCTGGTAGAGAGCAAGCGGGGGGGGGGGGGGGGGGGGGGGGGGGGAGGTCACCGAGAGTCTGCCAGCAAGACAGGTCACAGTCCTGTGTAACTTGACGTGGGAATGGCCTGCCACGGCTTTGTATCGTTTTGATTATGAGAAGCAAGTCATGGGTCCCGGGCCCACTGGAGGGGAGGGGGTTACACAGGACTTAACTACAGGAAAGCAGGGGTCGCTGGGGGCCCCCCAGGAGTCTGCCTACTAGGAAAGAAGAATTTTCGTGACAATACCCAATCATAATAGTTATAGATTTCTTCTAGATCACAAAGCACTTTCATGAGCATGACGTGAATGCTCACAGCTACTTCATAAGGTGATTACAAAGGTAACTGATTACCATAAGATATCAGGGCAAGCGTTATTATCCCCGTCTTCAGGGTGACGAAACTCAGAGAGTTTAAGTGATTTTCTCAGGATCACACAGCTTGAAAGAAGAGACAAGATTTTCACCTGGTCATTATGCATGAGTTTAGGTATTAAAGAAGGCCTCTCAACTCTGGAGTTTGGGTACATGTATTTTCAAGTACAGGGTTCATGACAAAGAATCTGGTATGGCAAGACCTAAGTTTGAATCCTGGCCAGGTGACTTCTGGCTGAGGGACTTTGGGCACCATCTTCCTTTACCCTCCCCAAGGTCAGTCTTCCCATCTGCAAATGGAGCTGTTTGAGGACTACTGCACCCTAATTAAAGGTCCAAAGTGCCACTCGGAGTGCTTGGCAGGGTCGTCTGCATGCCACGGCGGGCGGCTCCTGTTTTAACTGGGGCTGGCCGTGCTGTGCGGTTGTTTATAAACATGTATTACTTGCTTTTGAAAGCTTCTTCAAAACCCAATTATTAATTGTTGATGGGCTGGGCCCAGGGCGCCTCTTTCTGAAGTATCATTTATGATGGCTATTCTCTGTTTGTTGATTTTGCCCACACAAACCCACTTGATTAAGGGTTGATGGGAGAAAAGTCGTAATTCAAGCAAATAAAGGATGCTCTAGGAGAGGAAGCCTTGGCAGCAGCGAAATGAGGGCCTGAGTGTGGTTGCCATGGTTAATCGGGATTGAATCCCTGGCCTCCGTGGGCACCTGCCAAGTCAGACAATGGAGAGCAAGGGAATTTACCCACTGGGGAGGGGACTGGCACCCCAAGGCGCACACCAGGGGTTCAGGCAGGGGTCCACCTTTTGCTCTGTGGGTTTGGATCAGCTGAGAAAGGAATAGACACAGGGGTCAGATAAGGATCAAAATATCAAGTCCCCTGCTGGCTACTGTGCATTGGAGGCCAGGCCTTGGACTTGCTGGACTTAATACCTCTCTCTGGTGCAGAATTTGAGATGCTCCTAAGGGGAGAGGAAAGAGAGAGGAGGGAGAGAAAAAGGAAAGGGATGAGAAGGAAGAGGGAGGGGTGACATTCTAACTCCACACGATGGACCAATGAGCTTAGGGGTCTGGCCAAGTTGCCAATGAGATCCATCGCTCCGCCCCCAGGGGGAGGAGTCAGCGACTGCGCTGGTGGGCGTGGGAGCCTTATTCACCTGCTGGCCCAGATCTGTATTTTATGAGTTGTCCTAGGTGGTGGATGAAGGAGACTCTGATTCCCTCCTTTCCTAAGGGAATGGTCATCATCATTATAACACCAAAGCCTTTCTGAGTTTTGACTGCCTGGCAGACATTGTGTCTAGACCTTTAAATGAATTGTCTCATTTGGTCCTCACCAGGACCCCTTGAGAGGGAGAATAAATTGGCGTAGGTTTTGCAAAGGAGGATGGTGGAACTGTGACATCTTGTTGACAAGCCAAGGCCACAAAGCTGGCAAACATCATGCTGAGATTTAACTCTAGGTCTGTCGGATCTCAAACCCTGTTTTTAAAGGTGCTAGTTTTCTCAGAAAGTGATCCATGGACATCATGTGGGATTCATTTTAAAAGGTAGATCCCCAGCATGGCAGACTCCCACCCCAAGCACCGACTCAGGAAGTCTCCGGAGTGGTGCAGAGATGTGCACTTTAAATATGGACCCTGGATGAGGCTGGTGCACACCAGAGTTCTAGAATGATTCCTCTGGAAGGATAGATTTCCAGCTTGATCTTTTGCTAATTTACCTTTGGGACTAGAAAATGGACACTTGTTGGCAAATGGGATTTTTCTTTACCGATTTTTACTAATTTATCGAATTTGGTAGTTTTTTTGGGAAGCTGGATACGCTGGGCTTCTCTCCTCTCAGGTTTCTAAACTTCTGCGAAAATCTGGATGTTATCTCTGGTACAATTTTCCCTAAACACATTTCTTCTCTGCCCAGTGGTGACCCTTACACCAAAGAGCATCAAGACTGGCATGGGGGAATGGAATTCTGAAAAGCTTATTCCCTCTCCTTGACTTTCAGGGCCTGGTCCTTTATAGAGATGGATGTGGCCAGTGGCTGCATTTGCATATATTTGCATACATTTGCATGCACTGGATCTCCATCTCTCCTCTCCATTTGGCTCTAGAGTAAGCTGTCTGTGTTGCAACTTCTCATCTTCTTATTCTCTGATTTGGACCTTCTTTAACTCTGATTTCAAGGTTTTAAAAAGTTTTTTGCCATTGTGGTGTGGTTTTTTGGGGAATTTTACCTGGTTGCTGGGCTCGGTGGAGTTTCCTTTACTGGCCAGTGGGAGGCAGTGTGGAGTAGCAATCAGCAGCTCCAACTCTTGCAGTTAGGTCTGGGTCTAAATCCTGATTTATGCATTTATTAGCTGTTTTACATTGAGTTGGTCACTTACCTGCCCCATGGCTTTGCTTCCTCATCTATTAATAGGAATAATAATTGTTCCTGCTGAGTAGTATTATGAGGATTAAACACATGTAAAGTCATTGACACAGTGCCTGGGACATGACTCAGAAACTAGCAGCAGTTAATATGGTCATTCTCATGTGCTGTTAATAATGGTGATGGTGAAGAAGAAAAAGGAGGAGAAGATGAAGAAGCTCTAATGCTTTCCACGACCTGGCTTTCTTTTTTCTTTTCTTATTTTGTAGTGGCACCTCCTCCTCCACAAAAAAAATCTTAACTGGGCTTCTCCAGAAAATCTTCACCATGGCTGATTTTAGGACTGTCAGCAAAAGAGTCTCTACAAAAGAGTTCAATGTAGATAAACTTCCTATTTTCGTGTTGCCCTATTTCACTTGGCCACTGGCCGGGAAGAAATCCGCACTCCAGGTGCTGAACGCCCCTTTACTTGTTTTTCACAAACATGAATCCAGTATAGTAGTTAGTAGAAGTGTGTTTGCAATACAAAATGTGATAATAAAGACAATCCTTTAACAAGGCCTCTGGCCTTGAGCTGAAGCTTCACAGAGACCGTCTACATTTCTAAGAGAAGTTACCAACTGGGCTCCATGGTAACAGCTGGCAGGGGGGAGAAAGAAAGGGGAGAAGAAGCTGTCCCCTCCTCAGGTACTGTCCTTGAAGGGTTAACTTGCCCAGAACAGTGAAAAAAAAAACAGCTGCTTTTATGTGAATTTCTACAGACTGTGAACTTCTGAGCCCCTCCCCTTACATGCTGGGTATAAAATTCTGAAACTACCTGAACTTGGGGTTCAGGGGATTGATTGATTACAGCAAAATATGTGCCCTCTGAACCCGGCTGCAGACAAATAAAACTGTCTTCAGTGCCCTGCCTCCTCTGTCCCTACAACATTTTATATCAGTGATTGAACCCAGAGGAGCTTAACCACTGAGCCACATCCCGAGCCCTTTTTACTTTTTATTTTGAGACCGGGTGTAAGTTGCTGAGGCCGGATTTGAACTTGTGATCCTCCTGCCTCAGCCTCCTGAGCTGCTGGGATTACAGGTGTGCACCAATGTGCCCAGCTAATGGTGAGCTTTAACCTGCAGTTGAATTGTCCAACATTGTCAGAGCATTCTTTTAGGACCTGCTTTGGGAAGAAGGGCAGGGGGAGGTAAGAGTGGGCTTCCTGCTTCTGCTGTTGTCTCAAACACCAAGGTGCCACATTTGGAGGAAGTGTGTCCTGAAACCCACTGCATGCTTCGGTTTGCAACAGCTCTAAAGGCATGGCAGTAAGTACTCAGTAGAGGCTGAAGCCTGGTTGGAATAGGGAAAGAGTTACATCCGGGAGCTAGTTGGAGCCACGCCCTCTGGCCCATTCATAAGGCGTGGAGGATGTCCTCCATTTACAAATATTTGTTGAGCTCCTCCTATGGGCTGTTCACACTAGTAGGCCCCAGGGAGTCTATGGTGAGTAAGACAGCCTCCCCCATCACAGAGAACACAGTTTAGTGGGGGAGATCTGGAGGCAGCAGGCAATTAAACAAAAGGAGTAGTGTGTTGGAAATTATGACACACTCATTAGAATTGAAAAACTCTATAATGGCATAAAATCTTGATTAAAATCTGGAAGGAATAAACATTTAATCACACAGAACTAAAGGTCCACAGGTAGGGTAGGCTCTAAACTCAGTGATGTCCGGGGCCCAGGTTCTTTCGGTCTACTCTGCCCTCCTGGGGTTGTCCTTACCCTTGTTCTTAGCGGTACAAAGTGGCACCTGGGCCTGGAGCGCTTCACCATTCACCTCTGACTGAGATCTCCTCACTAGGCCTCAGCGCTCTCTTTCCCTCAATCTGATTGGCCAGCCTACGTCATGTGATCTTTCCTGAACCAATCACAGTTGCCAGGAATCCATGGCTTGCTCTGATTGGTCAGGGCTGATGAGGCTCTACCCCTGGAGCAGGAGGTGGGTTCTCCTTCTAGAACGCAGGGGAGGTGGGAGTCCTTGTCATAATGGGGTTCTGTTAGGAAGGGATGAAAGGGAGGGAGGGTTTGGATTCTGGGTGGGCGGCCATTAGGTCGGTTCCAACCTGAGAAAACTTGGAAGACATGGGGCTATATGGCTGGGAAGCTGGGAAAGTGATACTGACCTTGAGATCTAAGGGATGAGGAGATGGAGGCAGATGAAGGGAGGTTGTGTGTGTGTGTGTGTGTGTGTGTGTGTGTGTGTGTGTATGTACACGTTTGGAAGACTGTGTCATCACATTTACTATAGTCTCCCCTAATTTATAACACAAACACTATTCACAAGATTCTTTCCTTCATAGCAGAAATGTCCATGTTCAGTGTTACTTGCAGCACATTTCACCATGGAGGGTGAATGTACAGTGCCTGTTAGCGCAGACTCCTCATCTTTACTGCAGTAGGATACCTGGCCTGACTGCCCAGCACTGTTTTGAAGCTGGGGTCTATTTTATCACTGTTGTGGCAGCTTAAAAGTGCCCTGCCTTCCAACATCCTCCACATAATCTAAGGAGCCCAGCTGAGGGGCACACCAGCATGGTGTCCATACCAAATACAGACCCAAGGGTGTGTGCACTGGGGGCCACCATGTGGAGTCTGCTCTGCCATTTTGAGGTAGGAGAGGCCACGGCCACAGGCTTCCCTAAGGCCAGATAGTCTGGTTAGTGGGGTCCTTGACTAAGATCATTTTTAAAAATTTTTTTTTAAATTTCTTTTAGTTGTATACAATGCCTTTGTTTTTATTTATTTTTATGTGGTGCTGAGGATCAAACACAGGGCCTCGCAGGCACTAGGCAAGCACTCTACCGCTGAACCATAACCCCAGCTCTTGACTAAGGTCCTTTTACCCACTTATTGGCTTCTGTAATTGTCTGTATTTGGAACCCTGCCAGTTAATTCCTGGGTAGAAACTTGAACTAATATTTAGATCTAAGCAATCCTGGAAGGGGTGAGTTATTTACTGTCTGAAAGGTGTACACTTGCTCTATCTTCTGGTCTTGTTCACTTCAAAAGCCGGTGCAAAGCTTGCCTTTGGCTTTGATGTAATTGAGGATTGATGACTTCTGGTAGCTTCTTCTTATAGCTTTTTCCTCTGCTACACAAGTGATGTGCAAAACATATAGAAAAACGAAAGGAAGAAAGTTAAAAATCACCTCTGTGGGTCACTGCCTGGTGCCTCTCAGGTACCCCTTCAAGGAAGGGCTTGTTGGGTGTGCTGTCTGCAGCCCTCCAGCTGTCAACCCTTTCAGAGATGGCCTTGTGTATTAATCAGGCTTTGTCAGAGGAAACAGAACCAGTAGGACATAGACATAGGTAAACAGAAGGAGATTTATGACAAGGAGTTGGCTCACATGATTATGGAGCCTGAGAAGTCTTATGACCTGACATCTGCAAGTGGAAGGCCCAGGAAAAGCCAATGGTGTAATTCAGTCCAAGTCTGATGGCCTGAGGACCATGGGAGCCCACCCACGTGTAAATCCCAGTCTAGGTCTCATTGCCTGAGGTTCAGGAGTGTCAGGGTTTAAAGGATAGGAGAACATGAGAGAATAAAGTTCCCCTTTCTCCACTTGTTGTTCTGTCTGAGCTCTCCATGGGTTGGTGATGCCCATCCATGCTGGTGGACATGACCTTCTTTATTAGTCTTCTGAGTCAAAAGCAAATCCTATTTGGAAAACCCCCTCACGGACACACCCAGGAATAATGCTTTGCTAGCAATCTGGGCGTCCCATAGCCCAGTCAAGTGGACACAAAATTAAAAGCAGTCATGCCTTGGTTGCCTCATTCAGGGACCTTAGAGGGTTCCCACTTCTAGTGACTGATGGATCATGGAGCATGATGATCAGCTGCCCTGGGCTGATGTAGAACACTTTGAAGGACTGTTCTAGATCCAGTGCTGTATGCACAAAAGCTCAGGCTTTCCTCTGCTCTGTGTCCTGGCTCTCCCTTCTCACGAGCCCTCCTTAACACTTCTGTCCCATCCACCCAGATACAGAACACCTATAAAAACTTAAATCAAGCAACAAACATATAACTTATGGTAAATTTGAAATAATTACTATGCTTTTAAAGGTGTATTATTTTGAGAAAAATAATAGGTGAATGATTAGATTTTTTGAAAAATCTATTTGCATGTGTAAATATTTATAAAAAATATAAAGGATATAAACTCTAGGTTATGATTTCCAGCCCATTTGAATACACCTGTGCCAATTTCATTGAAATACAGAGTGGAAAACTTGGGACTTGGTGGATTAATAAGCAGGCACTGTGCTAAATTCCATCTCTTCTGCAGAAACAGCCCAAGATATCGTTGTCATCAATCTCATTCTCTATGAACATTTGGTTCATAGCATTGCAATGCTTTAAAATACTCTCCCTATTTCTATATGGGTTGTATTTTTTTTTTTTTTTACAGTAAGAGGATCATGCTGCCTAGACTCTGATACAGTATCATATGAAAGCAGGCACTGAAAAAAAAATTGCCTGAGTCCAAATCCCAGCTTTTCTGCTAACTAGACCAGGAACCTTAGACACATTCTGTATCTCTTGAGAATCGGATTCCTTACCTGTAAAATGGTGGGTAATAACAATCTGGGTTGTTTTGAGGATTCTATAGTAAGTACATGTAAAGCACTTAAATAGCAGTGCAGAGGAAACCCTTGTGTTGGTCAGTTTTCTGTTGCTGTGACAAAATACCCAAGAAAATTCACATAAAGGAAGAAAATTTTATTTTGGCCCATGATTTCACAAGCTTCAGTCATGATTGCTTGGCTCTGTTGGTTTGGCCCTGTGGTGGCATGGTGTGTCCAGGTGGGAGCATGTGGTGGGGGTGGCCTGTTCATCTATGACAATTAAAGAGAGGAAGCAAAGAGAGAGGAAGGGGCCCCTTCAAGGCCAGACACCCAATGACCTTACTTCCTCCAACTAGGCCCTGCCCCTTAAAGGGTCCACCACCTCCCAGTTGTACCATGGACTGGTGGCTAAGCCTTTAGTACATGGGCCTTGGGGGACATCTTGGATCCAAACCATAACCTTCCTCAATAAATATCAGCTGCTATTGTTATTTCATACACGGGTTCTCTCACAATATTGGAACATTTCCCCACAATATCAGATATTCTTCCCTTCCATCATTTTTAAAATTAATTTATTTTTTTATTCTAATTTGTTTAGATGATAGCAGGGTACATTGCAATTCATATTACACATATGGAGCACAATTTTTCACATCTCTGGTTGTACACAAAGTATATTTACACCATTCGTGTCTTCATACATGTACTTAGGGTAATGATGTCCATCTCATTCCTCCATCTTTTCTACCCCCATTCCCCTCCCCTTCCCCTCCCACCCCTTTGCCCTAAATAGAGTTCATCTAATCCTCCCATGCTCCCCGCTCCCAGCCCCACTATGAATCAGCCTCTTTATATCAGAGAAAACATTCAGCCTTTTTTTTTGGGGGGGGGGAATGGGCCAACTTCACTTAGCATTATCTTCTCCAACTTTATCCATTTACCTACAAATGCCATGATTTTATTCCCTTCTATTGCTGAGTAAAATTTCATTGTGTGTATATGCCACATTATTTTTTATCCATTCATCTGCTAAGTTGGCTCCACAGTTTAGCCATTATGGATTGTGCTGCTATAGACATTGATGTGGTTGTGTCCCTGTGGTATGCTGTTTTTAAGTTCTTTGGGTATAGACCAAGGAGAGGAATAACTGGGTCAAATGGTGGTTCCATTCCCAGATTTCCAAGGAATCTCCATATTGGCTTTCCATATTGGCTGTTCCAATTTGCAGTCCCACCAGCAATGTATGAGTGTACTGTTTCCCCTCACATCCTCGCCAACACTTATTGTTGTTTGTCTTCATAACAGCTGCCATTCTGACTGGAGTGAGATGGTATCTTAGAGTACTTTTGATTTGCATTTCTCTGATTGCTAGAGATATGGAACGTTTTTTCATATATTTGTTGATTGATTGTATGTCCTCTTTTGAGAAGTGTCTGTTAGTCCCTTGGCCCATTGATTGGTTGAGCTATTTGTTGTTTTGGTGCTTAGCTTTTTAAGTTCTTTATATACCCTAGAGATTAGTGCTCTCTCTGATGTGTGAGTGGTGAAAATTTTCTCCCAGGATGTAGGCTCTCTGTTCACCTCACTGATTGTTTCTTTTGCTAAGAAGAAGCTTTTTAGTTTGAATCCATCCCATTTATTTATTTTAATTTTTCCACTGTAGGAGTCTTATTAAGGAAGTTGGGGCCTAGTCCGACATGATGGAGATTTGGGCTTACTTTTTCTTCTCTTAGACAGGATCTCTGGTATAATTCTTAGATCCTTGATCCACTTTGAGTTGAGTTTTGTGCATGGTGAGAGATAGGGGTTTAGTTTCATTTTGTGGCACATGGATTTCCAGTTTTCCCAGCACCATTGGTTGAAGAGGCTATCTTTGCTCCAATGCATGTTCTTGGCGCCTTTGTCTAATACAAGATAGTTGTCATTTTGTGGGTTTCTCTGTGTCCTCTATTCTGTACCATTGGTCGACCATCGTTTTTAATGGTGGTCTCCTTCCGTTGTGAGAGTTGCCGTGAGTTGCTGAACCACCTCTCTTCATGGAAGGACGTTCCTGCAGGAGGGACCAGCATTTGCAAAGGCCAGGAAGCAGGAGAACATGCAGACCTGAAATGGATCAGTGCAGAAGGTACGGGCAAGGAGACGGCGGGTCAGGTCCCCGTGAGCCTTGTGACGTCTGAAGGGTGTGCTTTTCCTGTGGCTGAACAGCGGACA